CTCCATGCCACGCCGAATTGAGGCAGTAATTAAAGCAAAAGGAGCCCCTACCAAGTATTGAGTACATGTACAGTAAATGAACATACTTTCCAGGCCAACAAAATGTTTTTAATGTTTTTTTTTATTGGTCTTATGAAGTATTCTAATTTGTTGAGATAGTGAATTGGTGGAAATGTGAGCATTTGAGTTGAATTACTGAAATAAATTAACTTTTCCATGACATTCTAATTTATTGAGCTGCACCTGTATGAGCGAGCGTGTGAACGCTACGGGCGTATTTCTCGTATTGATGTTTATTTTGTTTAACTCTTAATTTTTGTGTAAAATTTTTTTTTGCTTTTTGGAAGCATTAGGGAGAGGGTGCCATTTTCTTTGAACTTGAGATTTTGCCTATGTTTATGTTAGTCAGGGAGTAAGGTAAGACCCTGTCATTTATTTATTTTCATTTGTTTAGGTTGCTTTCGTCTTTCGTTGATAGAGAGTTTTGTTTATGTTGGCCTTGCCCTCTCTTGAAGATTTGCTTCCTTATTTTTGTTTTTTGTTATTGTGACTGTCAGGCCCCCTTTTTTTTTTTTTTTGTTACAGCCTCACTTACCCCTAGACAAACAGGGAGGCTTGTAACAACATGTATTTTATTGATTAGGTTATATTGATTGTAATTCTACAATCACAGAGGACAGGGCTCAGAAATAACATTCAAAACAGAAAATTCAAGCAATATCAATAAAAGGTACAACACATTGACATATATGCCCAAGTCTGACTGGACAAATGCACATAAGGTTTCATTTCAAAATTATAGCTTAAAATGATTTTACTCCAATTTTGCTAGTTTTTTTTTTTTTAAGTCGAAAGTCTTATCTACAGCTGGGACAAGGATTCCATTGTGTCAGACTAGACCAGGGGAAGGCAAGTTCGGTCCTAGAGAGCCGCAGTCCTGCAGAGTTCAGCTCCAACCCTGAAAAAAAACTCACTTACCTATAGCCTTAATAATCCTGAAGACATTGATTAGCTTGTTCAGGTGTGTTTGATTAGGGTTGGAGCTGAACTCTGCAGGACTGCGGCTCTCTAG